AAGCCTTTCCTGAAAATTTCCTTGAGTCAGTATGAGATTTGATCGAGATATAAGGATTTTAATTTTTGCTAGTAACAGGCGAAAAACCGGTTTTTCACAGCAATGCCTCTGGCGAAGTTATATTCATTTCTACACAAAAACATATGTTGCTACTATGCTCAGCGTAGCTGATTACCTATAGTCCATGACATTTTGAAATTCCCAGAGATGTCTGCACGGAGATAGACACGTGCTCGGGGAAAGCGAGCCCTGCCCGAACGACGATAGCTAGAGAGCCGGGACTTGCTTAATTTTGTAGAGTAACGTCCGAACTATCTACGCATGCAAAAAAGTACTAACATTGTATGTTAGTTTTCTGAGAACGGAGCTGGTTTTCCAAAGATCCTCTGAAAATCCGATCTCTGGAATTTTTTCAAAAGTTGCTTCCGCTTGTGAAAAGTTTTGCTCAAGTCTTGGCTATCGAACAGCGAAAATGGCAGGTCTCCATCTCATTCCTATCAAAAATTATTCAAAAAATGCCCACGGATCTTGTATTTTGGGATGGATAGTAGTGTTTTGATTAGAATATTTTTATGGAAAAGTTTGATAGCGCTCGGACCGTTCACGAATTGTTAAAAAGACTTTTCCCATAAATTTAACTGAAGCAGCTGCAGACAAAACACAAAATCATCGAAAATGGTTACGGAATTTTACTACGCAAGCAAGCAGAGCGATTTAAAACTGTGAAAAAAAGTCTTTTTTTCTCAGAATTTTTATTTCATTTTTGAAAAATCGTTTTTATAGCTTTAACAACCTTTTTTCAAGATCTACGTTATGAAATGAAAAGAATTTTTTGGAAAAAGAAGCTTGATGACTCAACTACTCATCCAGAATAATTGAAAATTTTTTTAATTTTTTTGTTTACGTTCAAGTACATAGAGATTTCCATCTCTATCGAATTTAATTGCAGATGGATTGTCTAAATCATTTCTTGCAGCAGTAATAAAGTTCAATTTTTGTGTTAGTGGATTAAATTGATATAGACCCTGGTGATCTGTAGTAGCAAAGTATATATTTATATTACAATCGACGGTCATTGTCTTTGCACCCGGTAAACTTGAGAGAAGGACGGTACCATTCTGAGAACCATACGTCCATTTTTCAATACGACCTTTGTACGTATAGGCAATAACAAATAGATATAAATCAAACGTTTTATTATCGATGTACATACCAATGGGTCCAATCGAATTATCAACAGAATTCTTCCATTGACCAGTTACAACGATGCGATAGGTGTAATCCGGTGCAAACCATTTTCGAACAAAGAGATTATAAGATATGTAAATATTTAAGTCTGCATCTAACTCAATTCGCAAAACTTTATTAACAAGGACTACATCTGTTCCATTGATTATTATTTTTCCAATTGCAGCATTCTTTTGCCAATATTGTACTCGATAATGTTTGTAATGTAGTTGGTGATTAACATTAAAAATAGTTATATCGATAATATACATATTACCTGTATTACTATCAACCCATATACTTTGTGGTAAATACAGACCTAATTTAGCAACAGTTTCTATTGATTGATTATTTTCAGGTACAAATCGTTGAAT